CTCCCAGGAGCAGGCAGCCAGCCAGGACCCCAGACATCAGCCTGCAGCGGGGGCAGATGTTTGAGTCTGGGTGGATCAGTGGCTTAGTCCTACTGGTCAGTGGCTTGGACTGAGGCTCTGGCTTGCCCTAGGCCCTTGGGAGTGACCCTTCCTTGGGGATGCACATGTACAGTGCTGGTTTTTCTGTTTTGTTTTGTTTTTTAATTGTAGCCCACAGTTTTGACACCATGGGCAAGTTCCTCTGCTGTCTTGGTCTTGATAACTGCAGCTGTGTCTTCAGAGAGGTGGATTACACTGCAGCTGTTCTTGTGGCCACCCAGAGAGGGCACACAGAGGAGACGAAGGCCCCTCCGAGGTCGGCTGGCCTCCCTGCCAGTCTCTCTTGCCCGGCCGGCAGGTGGCAGGTGACAGGTGAAGAGGGCTGCAGAGATGAAGCGCCAAATTGATAGAAACAGCTGTGCTTGCGCCATGTCCACTTGCTCATTTTACAAATGAAGCTCAGGAGGTGAAATGACCTATTCACTGAGTGACATGGCTGGGACACCACAGGCCAGGGACACAAACCCAGGTCTGTGCAACTGTCAGCTCCTGCCAGGCGGCAGCTTGCCTGTGTCCCCAGTAAAGAGCTTAAACTGCAGGAGGGTCAGATGGGACCAGGGGATATCTGCACTGGGGACTGCTCTGGGGTACAGGGAACTGCTTCTTTGCAGGACCTGTTGACATCACATAAGATTGGTCCTACAGAGAAGACACAGTTAAGGTCTTGCCCCGAAACCTTTGCCTGTGCTGTTAGAAGCCTGCCACCACCAAAGGAAGGGAGGGAAGACCAACTATCCATGATGAGATATACTGGTCAGGACCTGGGTGGCTGGGTGTGGAGGATGAGAGGCAGAGGCTGGGACAGTAAGGGCAGAGGAGGCTGATGAATCAAGGCCTAGAATGACAGGGCATAGAATGAAGGCTGCTGGTCTCTGTGGCCGGAGCCTGAGGTCAGGTGCGCAGAATAGGGCTCTGTCCCTCACAGCTCGGATCCAGCAAGGAGTCCTGAGCAGCAGTTGGAGGACAGCCAGATGGGGGAAACTGGTACAGCAGGCTCGTGACCCCCACCCCTGCCTTGTCTCACCAGGCAACTCAAGTGCGGATGTTTAGCAGAGAGGGGCTTGCTAGACTTTGACAAGTCCTGTCCCCTTCCTGGGCCTCAGTTTCTCCTCCAGTCCTATGGAATGGGATCTTAGAGTGTTTCCTCTTCTGATGCCCAGCACCTCTGGGCTTCAAAGCTCAGTCTGGGGGCTGACCCCTCCCATCTTTCCCTGAGCATCTCCGCTCCCACCCCACACACTGCTGAAGCAGGGACTGCAAGGAGAGGGCAAGTGTTCTCTGGAATCATACGGTCAGACTCCAACCTGGCTGGCCTCCCCCAGAGTAGGAACGATACCAGAGGAGAAAGGTAGGGGACACCACCAGCTTGGAGCTGATCCTGCTCCTCAGCTGGGCTCCGTCTGGCCTCTGACATTTGGACCTTGGTTCCAGGAAGAGCTGGGCGCTCTGATTTGGAGTAGGCCCTTGGGAGCTCAGAAGGCTCCACGTCTCCTGGGCCCTGGGAAGGCCAGGCCTGGTACGAACATCCCACACACCTGTGGGCTTAGCTAACCTTCCTGTGGGAACCTTGGTCCCAGAATATATTTTGGGTCACTCCCCGCTGCTGAGCCATCAGTTCAGCAGGTTTGGAAAGGGATGTGGTGGGGAGCCCATCATCCAGCCCGAGGTCCCATAGGGCAGGTCTCTACCCTTGCTCTTTCTGGGCCCAACTGCCAATCGGAGGGTGGGATCATGGTCTATAAGGCCCTTCCCATACTGAGGTTGCCTCACCCCACCTAGAACTTCTGCCCCATAAGTAGTCCCAGAATCTGGATGACAGAGCTTATCTAGTCCAGCCCTGGGACCAGCCTCTGCCTGTGATGTGTACCTGAGTGCTACTGCCTTCAGGGCTGATCCTCCTGGGGACAGTAAACAAAACTACCTGACTCCCCATGGTACCTTTTCACTGAGGCCTGCTAGTCCCTGGGCCTCCCCCACAGATCCCTTGGGAATCCCTGGAAGTAGGCAAGCTGAGCTGGGAGGAGTCCACAGGGGGTAAACAGAAGCCTTTAAAGACTTCCAGGCTCAGGGTCTGAGAATGTGTGGTTGAGCAATCTCTAACCCTTGCAGCATTTGTACATTTGCTCTGAGCTTCAAAGACTCCTGGTCCAAACGCAGATCCTGCACTGGGATCCTTCTTCCATATCCTGCTGGTCTAAGGGCCTGGGGCAGAGGTGGATTTTCCTATCCACAGGCTTCCTTTCTCAGATCAGGGACCCAGACAACCAGGCCCAGTCTGGATAGGAGAGTGACCACACACACAGCAAGATCCCCCTAGGAACCAAGGGGACAGGGCTCTGCCTTTTATGTCCCTAGTTGGGGCAAAATTCAATAACAACACATGGGTGGGCGTTGACCACTCTGAACTTTATTAATGACAGTAATGTTCCCTGTACATCTGAACACAGCACACAGCTGTCCACAGCCAGCTCTTCCTCCCATCCTCAAAACAGCCCCAGATATGGGTAGGCAGGCAGGCAAAGGTCTCCCTTCTTCATCCATGGGACACCCAGGCCCAGAGAGGGCCTCACCTGGGTCACATGGCCAGTCAGTAGCAGCATCTGGGCTCCGAGCCCTGGGGCTCACAGTAAACTCCAACCTGTGCTTGGACTCTGTCCTCCTGCAGATTGACCTGTACGCCGGGGCCCTCTTTGTGCACATCTGCCTGGGATGGAACTTCTACCTCTCCACCATCCTCACACTCTTCATCACAGCCCTGTACACAATTGCAGGTATGTGCCACCACAGGGAGGGCCTGCCCACCACCCCATGGCTCCATGGAAACCAGGGGATGTATGCGGGAGGTGGAGAGCCATTTCCTCCCACAAGCTCCAGGGAGTCCTAGGATTAGGGATATGACTGCAGGTGCTGGTGCTTCTGCTCAGTTTACCTATCAAAAGCTCTGCGAGTTGCCTCCTAGGTCCCACCTCCCTCAAAGCCAGGGGAGCCCCTTCAGCTACCTTATTCCCTTGCAGGTGGCCTGGCCACGGTGATCTACACGGATGCCCTGCAGACAATCATCATGGTAGTGGGGGCTGTCATCCTAGCCATCAAAGGTGAGGACTGGAGCCTCAGTCCACAGTGGGGTGGGGCTGTCCCAGCACTTATGGGGCTCATGAGGTCAAGCCACTAGGCAGTCCTCCCTGTTGGCCCCCTGCAGTGATGGACACTGCATGCCTGCCTCCTGCCTGCCCTCACTGCCCAGCTCTTGCCAACTGCACACTGGAGAGAAGCTGACTCAGGAGCATAGAGCTGGCCATGCCTGCCCTGGCTTGGGGCTTGACAGACGGGTGTGGAGCACACAATTAGGAGACCACAGAACTGCTTGGGCGTCACCTCCAATTGTTCAAAATCATGTACAAACTCCTAACAGGTGATGCAGCCTCCTGCAAGACAAAGGCTATAAAAGGGGAGTTTAGACATTGTCAATGCCAGTCTGAACAAACAAAAAAGCTCATAGGGCAGTCCCAGGAGGTAGTGAGTTTCCCATCCCTGGAAGCAGGCAAGCTGAGCTGGGAGGAGCCCACAGAGGGTAAACAGAAGCCTTTAAAGACTTCCAGGCTCAGGGTCTGAGAATGTGTGGTTGAGCAATCTCTAACCCTTGCAGCATTTGTATGTTTGCTCTGAGCTTCAAAGACTCCTGGTCCAAACGCAGATCCTGCACTGGGATCCTTCTTCCATATCCTGCTGGTCTAAGGGCCTGGGGCAGAGGTGGATTTTCCTATCCGCAGGCTTCCTTTCTCAGATCAGGGACCCAGACAACCAGGCCCAGTCTGGTTGTGACCAGAGAATGACCACACACACAGCAAAGCCACAGTCAGGCCAGAGCTTGGCTATGCAGAGCCCTCACCCTGAGGTAGACAGGAGCAGTGAGAGAACAGATGTGCTCTGGACTCAAGAGAAAAGACCCCTAGCTGCGCGTGGTGGCAGACGCCTATAATCTCAGCACTTGGGAGGCTGAGGCAGGAGGACTGTTTCGAGTTCGAGACCAGCCTGGACTACAAAGTGAGCTCAAGGCCAGCCTGAACTGTATAGGGAGACCCTATCTCAAAAAGACCAAAAATAAAAAAGGGGAAAGCCACCTGGCTGCAGCCTCTCCTGCCCAGTAGGCTGAGTGTGGCCTGGAAGGAGCCACGTCACCACTAGCTGTTCTTAGCTCTACCGGAATTACACTCTTCTGTAAGCCCAGGGCAGGACTTTAACACTTCACGTGCCTCAGGCAGGTCCTCAGGATGCCAAGAAAAACGATTTTTGCTTCCTTGAGTGCCAGAGAATCCCTTACCTGAGGCCAACAGGCATCTGAAGACCAGCAGTGATTTCCACCTGGCCAACAGGATACCACGGTGCCCACGTGCAAAATGCTTATTTAATAGTATTATTTTAAATACAAATAAAATAGTTATTTTAAATTCACCTTGTTTTCTAAACCCCCTACTCACCACACCTTTCCAAATACCAGGAAAGGCAAGGTGGGAAACACTCCAGTTTGATGTTTTATGAAGTTACCTGTGAGATGAGGCTGATGAGAGCTGCAGTCAGGGCCGCCAACCACTACATGGTCCCTGTCTCACCTGCCCCCTGCAGCTTTTGCCCAGATTGGTGGTTATGAACAGCTAGAAGCAGTGTATGCCCGGGCCATACCCTCCAGGACCATTGCCAACACCACCTGCCACCTGCCACGTGCAGACGCCATGCACATGTTTCGGGACCCCCACACAGGGGACCTCCCATGGACTGGAATGACCTTCGGCCTAACCATCATGGCCACCTGGTACTGGTGCACCGACCAGGTGAGTGTCAGCATCAGCCGCCCCCCCTCCCCTCCAGAGCAGACTCTGGTGGGCCCAGCCCAGGCTGGGCTCCTAGGGGTCCTTTTGGTCCCGGGGGGCCTGGGCCCTCCGCTTAGAATCGGATGAGGCCCACTGGCTGCCACTTGACTTGGCCTTTAGGTGCTTTGACTGGGACAGTTTGGAGTACGGGATTCCGAAGGGACTTGGATACTCATCAGCAGCCCTGCCATCAGCCAGGATGTAGGTGTTCCGCGCTGGCCTTGGGCTCCCAGGATTGGGCAGTACACGGGCTATTGGGCCAGTCTTGGGCTGCCAGGGGTGGGGCCCTCCCATAACCAGGCCAGCTTTCCTTGGAGAGCTCTGGGTGCCATCAGCAGCAGGGCGGTAGCGGGGGGGTCCTGGGGTCTTCGAGGCAGGGCCCCCATAGCGGTGGAGGTGCTGGCCCTGGGAAAAAGAGAGCAGAGCATGAGGGCCTTTGAGTGCTGGGCAGGGCAGCCCTCTGCTCCTCCGTCCCGTGCAAGAGACTCTCACAAGCATGCACTTCCCTCCTGGTTCTCTCAACAAGGGGCCAGTCACTCTGTGTCCATCTCCTCATCTGTCACAAGCAGTCATCCTGCCCTGTGTGATTACAGTAAAGCGAGCTCCGGCCACCTTTCCTCAGGGCCCCCACCCCCGCCTCTTCTATCCATGCAGTACAGGCTGGACGGGGTTGGAAAAGATCGAAAGGGGTGGCTGCAGGCAGAGCTTTCCTCTCTTCTACCCCATCCACGCCTCCAGGGCCAGCCCCAGGGGAACCCTCACCAAGGCCAGCAGACCTCAGGCAGCCACTGACACTAATGTGTGGGTGCTCAGTGCCTCCCACCTTCCCTGTGAGGCAGCCAGGCCAGCCCCATTCACGAGCTGGGACACTGAGGCCCAGAGACGGCCAGATGTGCACCAGGGAAAGCGCCTTTCCTGGTTCTGTTGGTGTGTACCCAGAGGTCTCCCTAGGTTCCCCGAGTGGCAAGTGATCTAGGCAGGGAGGTGTCAGGTGCTTTGGGAGACAGCCTCAGTTTCCCCATATGTAACATGTTGCCCCTAAGCAGGGCTTCTCTCCAACTGGCATGCCCTAGATTCTTCCACTGCCTATGCCTCCTTCCTGGATTTCCAGGGAAGAAGGTGGCTCCCAGCGTGGGTCCCAGGATGGCTGAGGGCCAGCCCAGGTTGTGGAAATGTGGCAGTGAAGGGTGTGCTAGTGTGTGGGCACCCTGGCTAGGCTGAACCCTTCACCCCAGCCACCTCCTGCGCCTTCCCAAGAAGCGCAGCCTGGCAAGGCACAAGCGTCTGGGTGGGACACCATTCAGGGTATTCTCCCATGAAGACAATGAGTCAGCAGGAAGCCTGGCCTTAGGTCGGGGCTGCACAGGCTTCACTGCATAGATAAGGTGCCCGAGGCCCAGACAGGACAACCCAGGAGGCAGAGACGGGACCCTGCAGACCCCCCAGGTGGTCAGAGCACCAGCCAGCTTTCAGGGCTGATCACAGGGCCCCAGTCTTGCCTCCTGTCCTCCTCCCTCTCCCTGGGGCAGCCTAGAGTATATGGGCCCTTGGTCCAGCCCCCCTCGAAGCAGCCCTGGTGGCTCTGGTGCTGCTCAAGCTTCCCTCGTCTCTGAGTGGCTCTTACTAGCACCCAAGGACTTTTGGGATACCTAGGGGTCTGACTCCAGTCTATTCAGGATGCTGGGATCATGGCAATTTTTGTTTTGTCTTTGTACTTTTCATTATCTTCAGGCTCATGCACAGTAAATGACAGTTCTATAATCCCAAACAGCTTGGGATGGTGGCACTTGCCTGTAATCTCAGCATTTGGGAGGCTGAAGCAGGAAGACTGCAGCCAGTTCAAAGCCAGCCTGAACTGCACAGTGAAACCCTGTCTCAATTTAAAAAAAAAATTCCAAAACAAAAATCAGTAGCAAATGAAGTGCAGGTCAGAGGACACAGCTTTGGCCTGGTTCTCGCCTAAACTCTGCCATGACCCCCTTTCCCCTGCCCAGCCTCAAAGTCCCATCTGCAAAACAAAGCAGTGTGCAGACAGGATCACCTCCTCAGGTCCTGCCAGCTCTGAAGGCTCTCAGGTCTCTTGGCTCTTGGGTCCCTGGTCTCCTGCAGAAGGTGTGGTGTAGCCAGGTGTGGTGGTGCACACCTGTAATCCCAGCACTCCGGAGGCTGAGGCAGGAGGATCGTTGCGAGTTTGAGACCAGCCTGGGCTACAAAGTGAGCTCAAGGTCAGCCTGAACTGCATAGCGAGACCGTGTCTCAAAAAAAAGTTGTGGTGTAAGATGGAGCATCTTCCTCCAGGCCAGTGGTAACCACTCAACCCTAGCAGTAACCGCAACCCAGCTGTGGCTGGCTGGCAGTCACACCCCAAGGGAAGACTGAGATTCACTAAGAACCACATCTAGCAAAGCCCTGGGCAAGCCAGGAAGAGCTAGGCCTTCCACAGGCAGCCTTAGTCCTTTCAACAACCCTTGGGCTGGGGATAGTAACCCAATTTGCAACGGAAGGCAGAAGTTCAGTGAGATAAAATGGCCAAATCTGGGACAAGGCAGCAGCCCCACAGGAGGGAGAACAAAGCTGGGACTGCACACCCTGGGCAGAAGTGCTCTGACGCGGCAGCTCACTGACATCGAGGAAAGGGTCCCAGTCCCATGCCTGACTCAGGAAGGGGGACTGCTGCCCTCCTGATGGGTCTCAGGGCTCACAGAAAGTTAGCCTCAGTTTCCCCAGGGCGCAGTGCCTGTCCCTAGCTGCTGTGAGCACAGGATGAAGTAAGGAACGACCAATACCCCTGCCAGCAGTAGAGGACAAACGTGCAGGCTTCCCTTAAATGGTGACTGGGGCCCAAGGTTCCAGCAGCCGTAAGAGCGGGCCGGGCCAAAAGAGCCTGGACAGGCTTCCCCGTGCCCTCCTGTCCAGATGGGAAACTGGCTCGGAGTGCGGCACTGACTTCTCCCAGGTCACAACAAGCTAGAGGAGAAGCAGGACAGCAGTCAGCTGCCTGCGTCTCCATGGCAGCACCTCTGGCCGGCTTTTCGTCTGTAACGAGCGTCCCAGGAGAGCTCCTTCCAAGGAGTCAGCGCTGGGAGCAACTGTCGAGCCAGCATGCTTGGGAAAGAGCTAGAACCACACACAGTCCCACTCCTGTACTGCAGGTAGTGATTTAAACCATGGAACAGCACAGGAAAAATACATTTTAGAGGTCTAGACTGTACGACCGTGAACATAGTTAAAAAAAAAATTAGAGTAATTGCCTTTAAAGGGGAAACCATAGGGTCTATGAATTATGCCTCAACAAGGCCATTTAAAAAGAGTTACAGTTGGGTTGCTTTGTTTTTGTGCAGCTAGGAATAAAATCCAAGGACCCAAATGTTCTATCACTGAAATATACACCCAGGCTACTTTTTAAAAAAAAGCAGAATCATATCAGAGCTGGGAAGAATCTCAGATGTCACCAGTCTAAATTACAGATCTCACGTCCTCCCATTCTACAGATCTAGAAACTGAGTCTTTTAGGATTTGCCTAAAGTCCCCAGAGACCTCAGTGTCCTTAGGAATCTCTGAGTGATTCCTCTACTGAGGAATCCCTCCTCTACTGAGCTGAAGCTCCCCAAGTCCTCGGTCTGAAAATTCCCAACACAGCTGGCACCGATGTCTGCTCCTGGCACCAGCATGCATGTATATCCCACTTGCATGAGGGTCCAGGAAATGAGGATGGAGAGTGGTGCCCTTGACGCCATCCTACCCAGCACCTTCTCCATCCCTAACAACTGCTGGGGCAGAGGGCTGGGCAGGACCATGCTTCCTCGGCTGGGTTGATGGGCAGACTGAGTTCCTGGGAAAAAATATACTTGCCAGCTGGGGCAAGCCCTTCTTCAGGTGTCCGTGTCCCTCAGGTGTCAGGGTTCTATGATTATCCAGGTTAGGTCCAGGGCTGACAAGACCATGTCCCGTCTCAAACCACCCAAGGCCCACCAGGGAGAAATCCTGCCCCAGGTATCCAGAAGGGCTTGGACCTACTCCCTCTCACCCCACCCACAGGTCATCGTGCAGCGGTCACTGTCAGCCCGGAACTTGAACCATGCCAAGGCAGGCTCCATCCTTGCCAGCTACCTCAAGATGCTGCCCATGGGTCTGATGATCATGCCAGGCATGATCAGCCGCGCACTATTTCCAGGTAGGATAGGATCTGGGTGCTGAGGTGGGGCTGCAGGGTGCCCATGTTCCAAGGCCTTGTCCTACAAAGACCACCAGGAGGAGAGGCAAAAGAAGCACATAAACTGTGGCCCACCATGGGCAACAGAGCCACAAAGGCACCAACACTGAGGTGGCTTGGCACAAGGTTCAGACAAGGACCACTTAGAGCTGTGACCTTGTGTAAAGGGACATCTCTGAGCCCAGCCATTCCCGTCCCTGTCTGCAGCCTCGGGACTGTGCTACCCACATGATAGGCATCATCAAAATCCTAGAACCCCAGGTGTAGAAATGTGTATTTCCTTCAGCTGCTTGAGTCCCCAGCATGATAACAGCCTGTTATGAAGCCCTGTGTGGTTCCTACCCATCCCTTTTCATCAGATGCCCCTCTGAACCCGGGGCATGGTATCCCAGAGCAGTGGCAGCTCTGGGCTCTCAGGCTTCTGCAGTGAGGGACCCCCAGGACCCCTGATGCAAGGGGCCTGACCCACCTGTGCCTCCTTGTCCCCAGAGCGCTGGGCCTGCGTCCTCCTCGATGTGTCTGACTCTTCTTTCGCTCGACCTTGTGCCCACGGGGAGCCAGTCTGGGGTCCAGCAAAGGTCCCTCGGGTTATGTGGGGGGCACTCAGCTGTCGGTGGGGTAGTTGGGCTGGCCCATTGGTCATCTGCTCTGAGTGGCGCCTCCGGAGAGGGACTGAGCGCTCCCTTACCTCGAAGTATTCATCTGACATGGAAGAGGCCACCGAGGGCCGCCGGGGACCAGGGCCACAGCTGGAGCTGCCTGAGAGGCTGTCCTGGTCACTGAGGGTCACATAGTCATCATCATCTTCCTCCTCCTCTTCCCCATCCAGCCCATTTGGGAGCCCTGCTCCCAGGCCATTAGGGTCATCCTGGGTCACAGACAGGTGCTGCTGGAGCAGGGCCTGGTCTGAGTCCACTGTCCTGGACACTCCAAGGTCTGTCCCATTTGGGGTTGTCTCCTCCAGGGCCCAGTCAACACCATCCTGGGCAAGCAGATCACCATCTTTGCCATCCTGTGCAAGTAGCTCTGCCACAGGGACCGTCCGGGGCTTGGGCACTGGAGGCTGTGGCTCAAGGTCCTCCTGGGGGAAGCCATTCTCAGCTGGAACCTTGTCTTTGGGGTTGCTGGGCCCTGGGGAGGGGCGGGCCTCCTGACTCTGCTTCCACAGCTGGTGCTGGGTGCTGGCATGGGCCGTGTCGCGGATCTTGATGCGGTTCATCTGGCTGGGCTGGGGGTTCCAAATGCTGGGGTCGATGATGTTAATGTAGCCCAGGATGTCACTGCCAGGCTCGGGGTCTGGCTCCACCCATGTGGGCAGGTAGTCGAACATGTTGGCCCTCTCTAGGTTGAGCAGTCCTGGGTGGACAGGCAGTGGCAACTCAGGGGGGTCACCTGGCCGCTCAGCCAGGGCAGGGCCCCGCAGTCCTGGGGGCATCTGGGCCGCCTGCTTCTCAGAGGAAGAGGTCTTGGCAATCTCATCAACGCTCTTGGCCTTGACCAATGCGTACTTGGGGTTGACCAGCTTCTTAGCCACAGAGCCTGCAGGCACCAGGGGGACCACAGCAGGCAGCACAACAGGCTCCGGCTCCGGCTCCTTCTCCATGGGGATGTCCTTGAGGCTGACACCCTGTGACATGAGATACAGCTCCTGGAACTGCCGGTCAAACATCTCCACCACTTGGCCGGACAGCACAGAGATCACGTTCCGGTCCGTCCTCGCAGCCGACCATGTAAAGCTGCAATAGAGGTAGGGTGGCACCAGTCATGCACACAGGGCCTGCTGCCTCACTTGGGCCCAAGTCCCCTCCTCTAGTCCTTCCCCGCCCCTACTGCAGCAGGCATCTGGAGAGCCTGCCACACACCCCAGGCCGGTAACCATCAACTACGACTGTGGGCCTGTTGCAGAGCACAAGCACAGCTGTGGGCTCAGAACAGTCACTCCCACGGAGCTGCGGCCACTTCAGCAAAGGGAAACAGCATTATACCACCAGATTCACAAGGCAGATGGAAATCTCAGTCCAGCACCTAAAGGCCAGTGCCGTCACAAAGCACTCTGCCACCACCAACCCCGGGAGTGACTGCAGGGGAGCCTGTGTGATGAGATGTGAAGAACTGGCTGTGTCCCTGAAGATGGCTGTGAGAATGCTCACTCTGCAGGCTTGGGGAGGTGCACCCTGACATGGCTGTACCCTACCTCCAAGCCAGTGACACTGGGGCTGCAGCAACAGTCACCCTGGACAAAAGCCCTCCTCTGCTTGCCTCCAGAGGTAGGCAGGCAGGCCCAGCCACACACACACTTCAGCAGTCTGGAGACCAACAAACGGGAATAACCAGGGCATAAGACATCAGGATTAAAGGCAGAAACCAGCTGGGAACCAGAGGCCCCATGCGCCCAAGCCCCCATAGAGTCACCTGTAGGAGCCGCACACTGCTCGGTCTCCGTCCACAAACATGAACTTCTGGGCCAGGGCGCCTCTGAACTTGGTGGCCGACCGGGTGAAGAACTCAGTTCCCCCACCGCTGCGCACCCTGAGATTCTGCGTTGGGGAACAGGGAGGCCAAATTAGACAATTACAATGTCAATCACAGGGGCCAGGGGTGGGGGCAGCAAAGCGCTGGGGACCCAGGAGGGCTTCGGAGGACGGAGAAGAGGCTGTGAGGCCTGCAGAACGGGTGTGGTGTTCCTGAAACTACAGGGCCCAAGCGGGACACAGGGCGGGGGCGGAGGGACCTGACACCGGTGAAGAGACAGGGCCAGAAAGGACTCAGCTTTGGCCAAAGGACAAAGCTGGTCTACAGAACAGCACTGAGCAGCGCTGAGCAGCGAGGCCTGTGTGGCCAGGCCGGTCTGGGAGGTGCTGCGGCAGCAGTGGAGACTGGCATGCGCTACTCTGTTTGGTTTTGAGTCAGGGTCTCACTATGGTGCACAAGCTGTTCTCAAACTCCAGGGCTCAAGAGATCCTCCTGCCTTAGTCTCAGCCTGGGACTACAGGCACATGCCATCGTGTCTGGCTACATCAGATGTTGAGGGAGAGGGTGATTTTTATACTGGTCCCATGAACAGCTGAGGACTCTGCAACCAAGAGAGGCAGGAAGGTGGTGAGGGGCAGGAAGAGGACCCATCCTGAGCAATCTGGGTCCTGCACTCTTGACCACCATGTGGGTCAACCTTCTAGGTACCTGACCAGCCATGCCTCTCCCTGTTCTTGACACCCTGTCTCCTTGTCCCTGCTGGCACTGCTCCCTCCAGGCAGGACTCACAGCCAGCTCCCTGCTTCCTGAAGGCCAGAACACTGCCTGGCACCCAGGACGGTGTTGGTAAATGGTCAGCAAGGCCCGCTTCCTCAGGAACTTGAGTGGCCTGGCTAGGGGGCAGGTGGAAAGGCCCTCAGGGACCTAGGCAGGGAACAGAGACCTAGAGAGGGGGACCAGAGGAGAGGGGCAGAGCAGGTACAAGTGCTGGTCTTTCCCTGGCCCTGGCCTCTGAGGGGCCTCTCTCCTCAGTGGGGCATCTCTGGCCGGGACTGAGGGCCTGGTGCTAGCTGCCTCCCCTCAGCGAGCCAGTGCTGGCTCACAGCAGACCTGAAGACAGGCCAAGAGCCAGGCCTGGAGGAACAGCCAGGGCTCCCAAAGGGGGACCTCAGCTGGACAGACAACCTGGGGCTCGTCTGGTGCAAGCCATGCCAGGGCTCCTGGACCCCCAGGGTCTGATTTAGGAAGTGTGTGATAAGCTGGGCGTTTCAGTTTTAACTCAGGCCCCAGGGATCTGATACCCACCCTGGACAGGAAACCTCACAAGAGCATGCTGCCTGGCCTGTTTGCACACCTCCTCTGATGGCAGTCCCCCTCCCTCCTAGGAGCTGCGCACTGCCTTCGGGCACTTGGCAGTGATACATTCTTTGTCAGATGGGGCTGTGACCTGTCCCCTCACCCACTCACTGGCCCCCGCTCATTAACTGCCCACATGTTCGCTTGCTCACGACCCCTGCCGAGCGCCCTGGCGGCAGACACAGTGGTGATGGGGACAAAGATCTCGTGGAGGTAAGAAGAGGCAGATGAGTAACAAACCCTCAGGAGTGGCCAGGACCGCCGAGGAAGCAGCCTGGGCGTAGGGTGGCCAGGGGGACTCCGGGGAAAGGATGGCATGGGTCAGGGTAGGAGGGCAAAGCTTGCAGGCGGAGGGATACAAAGCCCGGCATGAGATGCAGGCTGTGCAAGAGCGGAGAGTGCCTCGGGAGGCGTGGTGGGTACAGGAGCCTGCCGAGCGGGCTGAGCCGGAAGCTGATGAAAGACCCTACACCTGCTTAAGTGCCTGGGCTTGGCGGGGCAGTTGGAGCCGTGAGAAGGTTAGAATGGAGAGTGCTGTGGTGGACCCGCACGTCAGGAACACTTCTGGCTGTGCAGGGGAGGATGTGTGAAACGACTGGGGGTGCAGGGACTGAGGCTACTGGAGAGACAGCGTGTCCACTGCAGCCCTGTGCTGGGCTCCCTCCAACATCCCCGCCCTTCTGGCCGGGCAGCCCCAGAGCAGGGTCCACAGAGGCTGATGGGGGTGGGCCCCCGGGAGTCCTCAAGTGATGCCCACCCAGCCGTGGGGTGAACAGCCACCTTGCTGCTGGGCCCAGCCCAGAAGGATCAGCCTCTGTTGCCAGACAGCCCTCCAGCCCCCCGCCCATGGGATACTTGTCTACACACAGCCAGTTAAACAGGAAGCTGGCCCCGGCCCAGGACAATTAGCACTCGTGACTTTGTACCCAACACAAAGCACGCTTGGGGATCAGAGGTCAGAACAAAGATCTTGGAGGCCTTCCCCTGTGAGCTGTGGCCAACCACAGCCAGCTCTGAGGCATCCTGTGGCTTCCAGCCCAATACTCTGCTGCGACCACACTCTCCTCCTCAGCCACCAGCCTCCACACCCCACCCCAGCTCTGTCCAGTGAAGGGCTCAGGGCGCCGGCATTTCCACCTCAGGGTGACTCAGGAGCCATGCGAGAAGTAGCCTGCAGTTGTGCTGTTGGCTTGCTGTGTGATTCAAAGCCTCTGGTCCTCTCTGGGTTTTTGTTTCTCTGTCTGCACACTGAGGGCTTGCGCCTGACCTTGAGTCTCACCCACGGCTGGGGCTTGGCAACAGGGGGCTTGCAGCAAAGTCTCTCCATTTTCGGCCCCATGGGCTGTTCCTGGCCTGTTCCTGGGTGGCTCCACCCAGCAGGCCTGGCCAGATGAGGTAATGTCTCAGGTGTCTGAGCAGAGGTGAGGCATGCCACAAAGCCTCATTGTCTCCCAGGTCCTGGGATCCCCCCAGCAGAGAGTGAGAAGATGGGTGGAGGGACACAAGGATATCCCAAGTGGGTGCCCAGGGCAAGTCCTTGGACACTCTGGCACTTCAGGTCAGAATAGGGTAGGGTAGGGTAGGGGGGTGGCCAGGCAACTCCTATCCATTCTTTAAGGGCAGTTTCCAAGCCAAACACACGTGTCAGGATGGCACCAGAGCTGGGGCAGATTGCAGCATCCTGCACCAAAACCACCCAGGCCTCTAGGCCCCCTGGGCTCACTTGAGCTCACAGAACCATAGGTCTCACCTAGTGCCAACTAAGACTATGGCGGGAGGGTCTGGCCATTTGTAAACTCTGGCCTAGTGCTGATCAGTCCCGGCGTCAAACAGTTGCTAACTTGGTTTTCTCATCTGTGAACTGGGCCTGCTCATCTGTGCCCCAGGGCCACCATGTGGATGGAGTATAGCCACACACAGCATCGCAGGAGATGGCCACTGTCTGGGTGGGTGTCTCATGACAGTGGGGGCCATGGACTGTGACTGTGACCATGTAGAGGGGACTGACACATAGAAACAGAAAATGTTTGGGAAGGTACAGACTCTCCAGGGACCCCAGAACTATCAGTGTGCTTGGCAGGTAGGGGGCTCAGGGAAGGGAAGAGACTTGCCCACATCTCCCATTCTAAGGCCTGAGGGCAGGTCTTCAACAGCCCACTCTCTGCCAGCATCTCCTGGACTGAAAGAGGCTGGGGAACCCCAGAGACGCATGCTGATAAGGCCTGAGCCATTTGGTGAGGCCTGGTCAGGAGAGTGGGGCACAGAAGACAGCAGAGACTCATGTGGCGGCAGGTGTGTGGGGCTCAGACGGCCTCCACGCTCTGCAAAGGGTCTGCTTCTCCTATGCTGTGCATAGGGTCAACACTCACTCTGACTCCCAAGCTGTCATGATGTTGGAGTGTGAAGTCCTTTGTGAACCATCCTTGTGTAATGGGAGTGTGACAGGACAGAGCTGAGCTAGCCTCACCCCAAACCCTTGTCCAAGGGTCCTGCCTCTTCTCGACCAGGGCTGCTCAGTTGAGCTAGGGGAGCCGTGCTGGGCATGCAGGATGCTAACAATTCCCTTGGGCTCTACCCGCCAGATGATGTGTGACAAATACGCCTCTGACCACGGCCCAGAGTGGGACAGACCCCTCCCACCCTGCCTAAGAACTACGCCCTGGATCCATCAAACACCTTGGTCTGGATCGGAGAGGGCAAGATGGGTGTGCGGACATCCGGGGAAGGCGGGGGGGGGGGGGGGCCTTTGTCTCCTGATCCCACACACCCAGCCAGGCCTCGTGCTCCCAGGCCACGCCTGATCAGGACGCATCTTGTGGCCCTCCCACCTTCCACTGGCCCAGGAGCAGCCACGGGCCTGTCCAAATGAGACCTTGCTCTGCGTTCTCGCCATGTGCCTCCCTACGGTCACCTGCTGAGGTTTCCTCCTTCAGCAGAAACGGTCCAGTCTTTGCTAAAGTAGCTGCTGGTTTTTCCAGTCTGGCCACATAAAGCCGGGGAGTTTTCTACACTGGCCGGGCTTCTCATTGCTCCTGCTCAGTCTAAGCCAAGAGCCTCAAGGCCCAGCCCAGCTCCCGCTGGCCTGGTGTATCCCCAGCACCTAGAAGCACCCCAGAATGTGGCCTGGTCACCAGCCTGGCCCTGTGACCTTGAGGGAACACAGGGGCTAAAAGGCAGAGTGCTCTTCCAAGGCCTGCTCCCCATCTGTGCTACTGTGGGGCCAACTGAGCTGCAGGCAGATGCGGAGACACCGGGCCACACACCTGACAGGCTGTGCACACTGCTCCCTACCCCCAGGAGACCAGGGCTGGGATTGGCCGAAGCAGTAACCCTCCAGAATGTGTTGGGTGCAGGCTCAAAGCTCAGGAGGAGGGAGGGAAGGAAGGCGCCTCCTAGCCAGACCATGGTTCTGGTACTCAGGCCAGAGCTGGGGTCTCACAGGAAAAACACTGCCTGTCCCCAAACAAAGACAGGACAAGAAGAGAACTCATTTCCACAGGGTCTTTTACTCTTTCCAGGAGTTCTGCCAAATAAATGGCACTATTCCCACTTTTCAACAAGGTAATAGAGGCCGGGGCAGTTTCGATGACTGCCTACGGTTACTGTGCAGGTGGCAAGGCTGGGCTCAGACTTGGCTCTCAGTGCCCTTCCAGACTGACAGCTAATACCCCATGATCACAATATGACCCCAGCAGGCTTACGCTGTATCCTGGGTCCCACGGATCCAGGGACAGGTCAGCACAGAGCTGGGCCAGGGCAGCAAGCAGCCAAGGGCGGGCCGTGGATTAGCCGCAGAGGAAGTGCTCCCAAGACAGGTCCAGACCCAGTCAGCCTGCAGGCAGGGAGGCAAGCCAGGCAGGTCCTGGACAAAGTGACACCTGGTTGGGGCTGGGTCCCAGGAGCCTGCAGTCACCAGCCCAGGGCTGTGGAGGAGCTAGCTCAGAGGCAAGAATGAGGAAGCCAGGTCACACTTTCCCACGAAGGTGTCCCACTCCTGCAGACCTGTCACCTTCCCAGAGAGTGAGGCAATGGAACAAGGCAGGCTGAGCAGAACTGCAGTGTGAGCTGCCCCTCTCTGGGCCTGATGGTCATGGGCTAACTGATGGGCCAGTGATCCGTGGGGAAGGATGTGGGCAAGCCCCTGCCCCAAGGCATGAGGTTCCTGCGTTACAGCCAGGAGATGTGTAGCTGTACTGGGCTGGCAGAGCATTTTTGTTTCACCCACAAGCACCATGGTGAGCCACCAATGTAGCCATGAGGAGAGAGGCACCACACATTCAAGTCCCACTGGCAGTCGGCAGACAGGAAGACTCTGAACAGCACCAGGGTATCCTGGTTATGGGGTCTGTACCCTCCTTGCCAGAACCCACTGCTCTCTCCTGGATTTTAGGTTCTGCCCCTGACTTAAAAGAATTTGGGCAAGTCCTGGCCTCCCTCATGCCTCAGTTTCCCCATCTGGCCTGTGGGAAACTACTTCAGATGACCACAGGCCTCTTCTGGCGCAGGCTCTCCAGGCCTGAAGGTAGCCACAAGCAGGGACCATCCCCTGGCCACCACCTTCGACTTCCTGAGAGCTCAGAATCCCAGGTGGAGGCCACCCACTGCTTCTCTGCTTAGGACCCCCTCAGCACCTGTGGCTGTATCCTGGCCTCTGCATCTCGCTATGGAGGGACACCATGGGAAGCACCTGCTGGGGTATGGCAGGTGCACAGGTGGTGGGGGCTCTGCAGTTACTTTCCAAGAGTTGCCTTTTGCATACTGAAGCTCTCTCTGGCATAAACTGTCAGCCACCGGAGTCGACTCCAGTGCTAATTACATAGCAGGCGGGCATTGGTCTCACGTCAACCTACCAGGGAGACCACATGAAAATGTCCCCGAAATTAGAGACTCACAGCAGAGTGCTCACACCCACTTGAAAGGACTCAGCTTGGGGAGGGGTATTAACAAATGCCTACAAATTACAGGTTTAGAGCCCAGCCCCTGGTTAACTAGCCCATGCTGCCCCTTCTGGGATCTGCATGCAGACCCAAAGCCTGAAGCCCAGAGGATTCGGACCCACCAGAGGATGGAGCTAAGCCTGACCTGATCCCCACTGGAGACTCCAGGACAGACACGCATTTCTTCATCTCCAAAACAGGAAGGACAGCCCCATCCCACTAGATCACTGTGGGGATTAAATAAATTAACCCACAGAAAGTACCTCAGGTGGGACCTACCACACATCACCTGCTGATCAGGCACACTGTTCTGCACGCAGGGAAACATTCTGCATACAGCAGGTGCCAAGCAATGGCTGGATGTCTGAATGGAGGTGCCTGGGCACACCAGTTCACTTGTTCTTCTGCCGAGCCAGTAAGATCCGGAAACCCAGAGAGGTGTCACAGCAAGCTCAGGAGATGCAGTAAAGCAGTGGTGAGAGCCTCAGGCAGCCCTCTCTGCATCCTTGTTCCTAGTGTCCTCCCCATCCACAAGGTCTGTTCTGCCGCTCCTACAACTCAGACCCATTCAGCTCTGACCCTGGCCTGAAGGAGCTTCTTCCGAGTCAGCTCTGGATACCAGTGTGAGGACATTCTATGGGGACAGATTTGTGTTTAACCTAAGAATGGACTTTCTGGGAGTCAGAGCTCTCCAGCTAGGGCATGAGCTGTCTGAGGAGGGGATGAACACACACCTGTCATTGGAGGTGGACAAGCAGACAGGTGGCCATTGGGGCATGAGCTGCTTTGAAAGAAAACGTGATGTAGTACCTGGCATGAGCTCCAGCACTTGGTCCTCGAGCACTTAATCAGTGCTTATCTTATCTGCCTGTTGGAGGCAGTGAGTATCCTCTCCCTCAGGGCATTCAAGCTATGTAGTTGCTTGGCCTACAGCTCTAGGAATTCTGTGTGCTGGGCATAGGCTCTACCCACAACAGGCAGGTACTCACACTGTTTGTTGACTAGCTGAATGAGCCCTGCCCTCCAGCTGTCCAGGCAAGCAGGGAGCCGGCTCACCTTGAGGTGCCCCGGGTGCATGCGGGCCCGCTCACACATGTGCAGGAAGTACTTGACATTGCTCTCGTCCACGATGATGTACACGGCCACCTTCCTCTTGAAGCCAGCATCCAGCAGGTCCTTGAAGATGTCCACATCAGTGAACATGTCCATGACCACAGCTATCACCTGGGGACAGAAAGAGACTGGGCTGTCAGTGCAGCAGTAGGGGCAGAGCATCGTAAGAGGACACAGCCCTCCCATGGCACGCTGGTCCTGGAGTGCCCGCACCAGCCCTGCCCCCAGCAGCCGTGGGCCCATGACCATGGAGTGACAGGCTGGGGCCTCTCTGGCTTGACACTGAGGACACACAGGCTCAGTCAGTGCCTCTGGCTGGACTTGCCAGGCAGCAGGAGGGGAACAGAACTCCAAACCAAGTGGCCACACAGTGAGAAGCAGGGGAAGAGAGAAGAGCAGGCTGCTGCAGGAGGTACAAGGTCCACAGGCAGCCTGGGAAGAGGGTCTGAAAGGTCAGGGGTCAAGGAGGATCTTTGTGTGGGGCCCTGTGTTTGTCACAGCTCCCCCAGAGCACCTCCTGCCTCACCTGGATCAGGCTTGCTGTCACCCGCTCCCACCGCCACTCAGAAGGGGCCCTGCGCTGGTCCATTCCCCAGACATGGCTGGCAACACAAAGACAACCCAGAGGTGTCAACAGTACTCGCTGGGGCCTCCCCCCGGTGTCCAGGGCTGCTGTGGACTTTGGCAGGCCTCCCTTGTTGCCACTACTCCTGTGCAGTCTCGACAAAGCCCAAACCAGCACGTGTGGTTGCTTGTCCAGTCATTTGACATCTATCCCCACTGCAGGTAACCTCCCTCCCTGGGACTGGCTCAGGGTGGGGCCCCTGAGGTCAAAGTGTACCTACCCACCCCAGCCTGGCCAAACCCAACTGTTCACCTGAGAGTCCTCGGGGATAGAGCAGCGGAAGCACAGAGACAAGTGATAGGCCTAGCCCGTGGCCTTTGTCTCTTCCTCATTTCCTGTCCTCTCCCTGGCCGCCAGGACACATGCCTGTCACACTACCCCATGCTATAGGGTCAGACAGATCTCTACTCCTTGCTGCACCCCCAAGGCTGGCCCTCTGCCCCTGGGATCAGAACTGCCTGAGGTCCCTTACACAGAGAGGCTAGGAAGTGCTCCAGGCCACACAGCAAGCTGGGGACGGAGTTGAACTGGCACCTACCCAGGCCTGTAAAGAACTGAGCTCACTTACCCCCACTATGAAAGTGGCCTGGTAGGATCCTTCCCTGGGAGCCATACCCACCAGTGACAGGAAGCAGCCTGGAGCCTGCTGGGGACGTGTCTACACATTGCAGTGTGAGATCACCAGGCTGGCCCCTGCAGGCCCACTGGGACTCCTCCCTGGCCTCAGGCCACTGCTGACACCCAGTGCTTATCTGGCACCAAAACCAAATTCCTGCAAAGGGAAGGCTCCACACCTGCCCTGCCATGAACTTGCTCGGTGAAGACCCTAAGGAAGACCCTTACCTCCGTGGGCAGTTTTCTCATCAGTACAAGGCCCATTTCTCGGAAAAACCAAGCACACGTGGACACAGCAGCATGTAGAAAGACCTTAACCTGGAGGAGGGCTTCATATACACTCAGGTGCTACTATTTCCCCACAGCCAGCCTCAAAGGGCGGTCCCAGAAGGTTGGTAGTCTTGACCCTCACTTCCCGTCTCTTCCAAGCTCCATAGCAGTGAGATCTCAGCATGCAGCTGGATAAACTGAGATTCAGTGAGGTCATTATCTGGCTAGAGGTCACAGAGCAAGTTAGGGCAGGGCCTGGACCCACCCCCAGGCCAGGCCAGGGCTGGTCCCCGGTTCTTCCCTTGGCACATAGTCTCAGAGGGCTTGGCAGGTGATGGACTCGCAGAAGATGGAATGTAAAACCGGCCAGGACTCCCCAGATGCTGAGGCCTAGGGTGCCCTCTGTCCCCTAGGGTAGTAGCTCACCGTCTCTGAGCCTCTGCAAGGCTGTAGGGGGGCAGAGATCAGCAGTCAGGGGAGGGGCTGGGATGGACAGAGGTAGGCTAAACCGAAGCACTGTCAGTGCCAGATGAGGAAGTGCCTTCTGCTCCCAGGAGCAGACCAAAGACAGGCAGAGAGTGAGCCCCCACCCAGGAGGTACCCAGGAAAAGCCAGAACCGGGGGGAGGTGAGTATGAGGGCACATAATGTTGGCTGGGTGGGCTCCCACCAGCCAAGGGTGAGGAGACTGAATTTGGGAACAGGGTAGCAGTAAGTAAGCCCTTACCTGGGACCCCACAGCTCCCAAGCCACCCCAGCCATGGTTGCCCTGGGTAAGCCACTCTGAAGCAGGCAAACACCCTTGCGTGCTGTCCTGGAAAAGGCTTCATCAAGGCACAGCAAGCAAGCTCCTCCCTGGAGGCATGCTGGCACCCCTCCACACCCCCAGATCGGTCAGCAGTGGTTCAGGCCTTGGGTGCCATGGCAGACAGGGACTTGCCCTGGGCTTGGGCTATAGGACATGTCCCGGCAGGATGGGCGCCACGTGTTCTGTTCCCCAAGTCGCCCTCAGCCAGCCAGGGTGCCTGATCCAGGGACTGTCTGCTGTCGGGGTGGTGCCTGTCCCCTCTAGGGGAACCCCCATGGGGCCCTATGCTGAGTACTGCTTCCCCAGGCATTGGGCATGGTGATGGGGCTGGTCAGATGAGGGCCTGTGCCAGATACCAGCTGGTGCTAGGGACAGGGAGTACTGCTTGGACTCGAGCTGATACTGGGATGGGGTACCTCATACTCCCCACCAGCCCCCACACCTTGGCCTGTCACAGTCAGGCCACTGAGGTCTCCTGGAGGCCCCTGAGACCTACCATGCCCTCCCCATTTTGTACACAGGAAAGCTAGGACCAGCGTCAGGGATGGAGGCTAGAACCAGGCCTATGCAGCCAGCCTCAGCATAGGGCAGTTCCATGGCTTGACAACCATGACCACCTTTGGTCTTTACAAGCATGCTACAAGCAGCGGTTGTTTTCCTCATTTTATATATGAGGAAACTGAGGCATGGTGACATTCACTACCTTGCCTAATAACTGTTTGGATAGCCCAGCTCAACTCATGATCCTGTGAGCTCATCCAGGACACAGTCTAGCAGGAGGGGCTCAGCCTGGGGCAGGTCACAAGAAGTTTTCACCAACTGAGAACCAGACTACGTGGCTCAGCCCAAGAGCAACTGCAGGGATCAGGGACAGCACCAGCGACAGCCCCTCCCAGGTACGGGTGTGGGTCTGCCCCACCATTCGGGTCTATCTCATTTGAACACCATAGAGCTGGCCCCTGTAGAGGAAAGCACGAGCCACCTCCCCAGCCACAGCCTGAACGCTCTTCCCAACAAACACAGCAGGCTCAGGCTGGCACTGAGCTCCAGCCTGGACTGTGAGTGAGCGGCATCCCCTCTCTGCGCCTCAGTTTCCTCACCTGCACAATGGGGTAGTGGACAAGGTGTTCAAGACCTTTATTCTCTGACATCTTTACCTGAAAGACCCCCACCTCTGTGCCCAGCTGCCCTGCCCAGAGCCCATCAGGGCCTGTCTGGGCTGGTTAGGGCATCTTGCTGCACCCACAGGCCTGTGAGAGGAAGTGCAGGTGGCCACACCACCTCCCCACACTCCTGCAGGCTCCCGCCCTGCCAGGTGTCAACACCAGCCTGCGGCTCCCAGCACCCACAGCAGCTGTTTTCTAGCCTCCCCGTGACCACAGACTCCGTTGCATGGAACAAAAGTGCCCTTGCAGGGCAAGTGGGTGGAACAAGCCTTCCTGGAAGTGACTGGGAGGAAGGGCGGGCTGAGAAGGGCTGGCTGAACACTAGTGGAAAAGCGCTGGTGTGTGGCCAAGCCTCTCTTGGGAGGCCCAGACCCTTCTGGTCCCTCTCCCCAGAAGGTCATGCTCTGGTCCACCAGCTCCCCATACAGGCTGCCACCTTGAAGGCCAGTTACCAACTGTGCCTCTGTCTGGACAACTCCCATCCAGCTTCTAAAACCCAGCTCAAGTTCTTCCACCACCCGCGCTCCTCTCCATCAGTACTCTGGTGCTCACCTAGCTTAAGCACACAATGCTCACGCATTTCTGGAGATGCCACAGAAAGGCCATCTCGCACAAGGCCTTGGTGCTGAGACAGATGGGGTTAGGCAGGGAAGTTTCTGACCTGCATGTGACAAGCCCTCTGTAATGGCCCTGCCTTCCTCACCCTCAGAGGCCACACACACTCTTGGACATGTTCAGAGAGCCAGCTGTGGTCTTTCTGCAAATGTCCCTGAGAGCAGGGGAGAGACACACCCAGTTGTCATGCAGCCTGGAGCCCTGACGTGGCCTCAACACAGTGTACAGCTAAGACAGGTCACTTCCGCACCTGGGATATGCAGCAGTGGGAGAGTCTGTCGTGTCTGCTTCCAGCCCCTCCTACTAGAAAGCTGAGCCATGTTGCGCAAGTGCCTTAGTCTGCTGGTGGGGAAAATAAGAATCCCCTGTGCAAGATCACTGGCAAGAAGTGCACTAATACAGGTGAACCGGCATAGGGCCAGCAAGCTGCGGCTGTGTTCACCCACCTTGTCCACCAACCCACTCCTGTTCAGCCAAACCCACAGCCCCTGGAAGGTAGGGTGGACAGGCCAGGAATCAGGACCCACTGTCTCACTTCTCTCTGGCCAGCTGCAGAGCAGAAGAAGGCAGTCCCAAGGCGGCTCACAGGAATGCTGTGGGCAACCTTAAAGGCTGCAGCAATGGCCATCAAAACCAGAGATTCAGCTCCTACTTCCAGCCACGGTAGAATAACAGTGATTGATTTTACCTTCTTGCCACAGCAATAAAAAAAAAAAAAAAAAAAAAAGAAAAACCTCAGGCAAAAACTAGAAAGCCAGTGACAATATGTGGTTCAGAACAGAGAGAAGAGGCTCCAACAAGGCAAGGCATAAGAAGGCACCAGCTGCTTCCAGCTTACAGTGCTGGGAGACTCCCCTGGGAAGAGTCAAGTGGTCTCCCTCCGCTGAGGACACAGGATTAGCTCAGAGTGTAGCAGGTAGAGTTTGTAAGACAAGGTACTGCAGGGAAAGAAGTACACAGAGAACCCCAGAGACCTGCAGAGGATTCCTTTGAGTCCTCAGCTGACAGGTGAG